TGGCAGGCAGGGGAAAGCCTTCTGGGCAGAGGGCTGGCGTAAACAAAGAAGCCAGCATCTGTTTGGGACAAGGCATCAGTAGATTCTAGATTGGATGGGATCCAGGGAGAAAGCGTGGACATAGAGATGGGGATGGTCTCCCGAGCGCTGCCAGGAGTAACCCCCGAGCATCACTGGGTGTGGCACAAAAAGCCCCCTGCTGCCCCCGCAAATAAAAAGAGAAAAGAAGAAATGGAAATGGGGGCCGGGAGACGTGGAGGGGTTCAGGCATTTGTCTTGCACACAGCTAAGCCAGTGCCGGTACCACATATGCTCCTTAAGCACTTCCAGGAGTGATCCCTGGGTACAGAATCAGGACTGAGCCCTGAGCACCCCTGCGTGTGACCCCGAAATCAAAAAGGAACAAAGAAGGAACTAGAGAGGCAGGCTTGGCTCAGAAGACAAAGGACCCCGAATGTTCCAAGTAGGAGAAATGTCAGGCAAATCTGAGCATCAGAGGATGGCGCTTATGGTCTTCAGTGGTTAGAATACAGTGGTCAGGGCGCATTTGTTCTTTTTCAGTGTCAGTTTCTAGGATCCCATAAAAATATAACTCCAAGTTCCTTGGGCTTGAGCTGGACCAAAAAAAAAATTAGCATCATGGCCCTGTTTAGGGGAATTCACTCCTCGGAGTTGTTCCCCCAAAGCCTGGGACTTCATGGTACCCAGAAAACAGAGAAGGGAGGGAGCCTGGTCTTTTTCCTAGGGTGCTCAGTTACCCGGTACTGATGCCCAGGGCTGCCTCACCATCCCCACCAAGTCCCGGCCTCTAAAACTCAGCGTGGACTCAGCAGGCCTGTTGCATTGGTGTGTGTGAGTCTGAAATGCCCTGTCTTTTTTTTTTTCTTTTTGGGTCACATTCAGTGATGCACAGGGGTCACTCCTGGCTCATGCACTCAGGAATTACTCCTGGCAGTGCTCAGGGGACCATATGGGATGCTGGGAATCGAACCCGGCTTGGCCACGTTCAAGGCAAATGCCCTACCCGCTGTGCTATTGCTCCAGCCCAAAATGTTGCGTGTCCCCAAAAGTACCTGCCAGAAGCCCTCCCCCTGGAGCACCCCTAGGCCTTCCAGTAACACCTCTCTCCTGTCACAGGCACTGTCTTTCTGTCCCTCACACCTCTTGGGGACTTTAATCCTCCCAAATGGTCCTGAAGCCCAGAAGCTCTTTACAGATCCTGTGTCCTGCTGGTGTAGTCAACAGCAGCTTGGATGCAGTCAGCACATCTTTTGTTTTTCCCCCCTCTTTGGGCCTTAGAACCAAAGGTGCGCAGGGTTTACTCCTATCTCTGTGCTCAGGTATCACTCCTGGCAGGACTTTGGGGATCATAAGTGGTGTTGGACCCTTGCATACAGGTGACTTGGGTTCAATCCTTGACACCCCATCTGGTCCCCTGGCCCCCACTAGGAAGTGATCCCTGAGTATAGAGCCAGGAGTAAATTCTGAGCACTGCTGGGTGTGGCCCCCAAACAAAACAAACAAAAAGCTGGAAGGGCCTTGAGAATTCCCTGTTTCTCCAACTTTGCCAAGTCACCAGGCTGGAGGCCTCTAGCATTTCACTTACCATTTCTTTTTTTTTTTTTTTTGCTTTTTTGGGTCACACCCGGCGATGCACAGGGGTTACTCCTGGCTCTGAGTTACTCCTGGCGGTGCTCAGAGGACCATATGGGATGCTGGGAATCGAACCCGGGTCGGCCGCGTGCAAGGCAAACGCCCTACCCACTGTGCTATCGCTCCAGCCCCTCATTCATTTTTAGCTGTGCCGTTAGAGGGAGCGGGACGGTCACCCACCCAACCAAGACGCCCACTGAGGTTTTTACCCCTTTTTGTTGTATTACCTGCCGGGCTCGCTCTTAGCTGAGACCTACATGCCATGGTTGTGTGCTCACAGGGGCACCACCGTGCTCACATGCATGTTCATTGGAGTTCATACTTCCTGTTCCCGTCACTCTTGCATTCCTGCAGTCAATGGCAGTCACGCTTCCACCAGCGATCACAGACAACGTTCAGGGTCGGATTGGAACTTGTAGGAACCAGGGCTTTGAACCTGTAACCACTTTCTCACACGACAGTGCTCTCTAATTCCCCACACTATTTTCCCAAGCCCTTATTTAACTTCATTTGTTTGGGGGTCACACCCAGCAGTACTCGGAGTACTTCCAGCTCAGTGCTTTGAGCTCGCTCCTGGCTGTGCTCAAGGCTTGGTGGGGCACTGAAGATGAGCCTTATCTCCAGTCCAGAGTCCTTATCATTGAGGGAAAGATGCTGGAGGCTCGTGCTCGCAGGTGAACACCGTGGTTCTCTCGAAGGGGGAACATGGGCCAGTCATTCCTGATCTACAAGGTGAACTCAGAGGTTCAACTCTGCCCCAGCCCTGCAGAGATAATGCAGCAGCTGAATATAGCTCATTAGGGCTCGGCTGTATTTACTCTTTCATCTCCCTCAGAATCAGAATTCAGGTGGGAGATAGGTGTCTCCAGTTCACACCTTCTCTCAGTGGAACATGCTCTCAGCATGATTTGTTGTAGAGGACCCTGACACAGGTTCTGATTCCATTTTTTGTGGGGGGGGGGGAGCAGGGGATCACACCCAGCGATGCACAGGGGTTACTCCCGGCTCATGCACTCAGGAATTACTCCTGGCGGTGCTCCAGGGACCATATGGGAGGCTGGGAATTGAACCTGGGTCGGCCGTGCGCAAGGCAAATGCCCTACCTGCTGTGCTATCACTCCAGTTCCACCAACTCCATTTCTTACACTCTCAGATCCCTGAGCCAGATCCTGCCCTCCAACAGTATTTCATTATGATGTTGAAGAAAGAAAATACTCCATCACAGGGGTTTGCACCGTGCTCTGTGTCTGAGTGGGTGCCCTCCCACCTCCCAAAGACAAGCACATTTGCTCTGCCGGGGTGCCTGCTAGTCCCAGACTACAGGAGTAGGGGTTGTGGGGTAGGGGTTCAGTCCATCCCATTGGTTCTGGTTCTGTGCACAGAAAGAAGCAGGGCCCTTCCCCAGGACTCTTGACCTGGATAAGCAGGCCAGCAAATGAACGAATAAATGAATGAAAACAAAATATGTTTTGATTCTTTTGTTAGGAGATTGGAGCTTTTGTTTGTGTGGGAACTAGAAATATGCTGTAGGAACTTAACTCCTATTTTCATCAATTTGTCTATGGTAAGAATTGATTTATTATACTTATCTGGTATACTGCAAGGTGTGGCCCAAAATCATAAACAAAATGGTGATCTACATTTTTTCCCTTTATTTTCTGTCTTTATTTTTGGAGGGGGCCATGCCCAGTCATGTTCAGAGCTTACTCCTGACTGCACTCAGGAATTACTCATGGCAGGGCTTAGGGGACCCTGTAAGGTACCAGGGATCAACCTGGGTCTGAAGATGAAGGCCCTGACACCTGTACCATCTCTCTGGCCCCAATAGTTTTTCTTTTTTTTTTTTAATTTATTTTTTTTATAGGCTAATTTTTTATGCTTTTGGTTTGGGGGCCATAACCAGTGGTGCTCAGGGCTTATTCCTAGGTTTGCTCTCAGGGATCACTACCTGCTGTACTATCTCTCCAGCCCCCAAACACTTCTTAATCCAACCTGGCTTCAATGTCCTCACCTGTAAGAAAGAAAATAAAGCAATAGTCATGAATACAACTCTGTGAAATTGATGCCCTACCACCGTACAGCATTTGGTACATGTTATTACCGAACTATTATTGAATAACTTCATTTGTTATTTAGTTGATAATGATTTACAGGCCACAGAGCATAGATGACCTCACATTATTACAGTTGTTATTGATGGTTGCGAAACTGAAGGATGGTCATTCTGGAATCCTGTCGGGTCCTACTTCTGTTTCTTGGTATAATGCTGATTTCTGACCCTGAGAACACTTCCACACACACACACACACACACACACACAGAGACTTCCATGCTCATGTTGCCCAGTGCCCTGATTCAATCTCTCACCCTTCTCTTCTAACCCGGGTAGGAGGCACCGGCTGTGTTGTGGAGAGCCTGAGCCCACCTGGTCCCTACTAGAAGGTCCCTGGGCAAGATGAAGTTTCGATCTTCAGAAGCCTGAGATCCACCTCAGCTGCATCCCACAATTTCATCACTGCAACAGGCCGAGCTGAGCGTCCGTCAGAAGTATGCGGATGCCGAAAGTAGACTTAAGTCCAAACATGATTGCCACTCAATGGCTCTCTTGCAAACCACAGGACCCAAAAGGAGAGAGAGAGAACCAAAGGGAATGCCCTGCCACAGAGGCAGGGTGGGATGGGGGGGGGATGGGGGGGGATGCTGGGATCATTGGTGGTGGAGAATGGGCACTGGTGGAGGGATGGGTACTTAATCATTGTATGATTGAAACCCAGGCACAAAAATGTGCAAGTCTGCAACTGTACCGCATGGTGTTTCACTGATAAAAATTTTAAAATTAAAAAAAAAGAGAAGAAGTGTGCGGGACACCCAGGAGTGGCTTCCAGATCCTGGCACCCCAGAACCTACTGGCTGAAGCAGGACGGAGGCTTGGCCAAGTGACTTCTGTCCCTCCGTTCGGTTCCCTTAGTGGGGCTCCAGGTCGCAGCAGCGACATCCGAGACACCGCCCGGCTGCCCCTCCCTGGCCCCTCTCCCTGGCGACCTCCCCAAAGCAGGGCGCGCGGAGAGGGGGTGTGACCGAGGCCACCCGAGCCCTCTCCATCGAGGGGGCCCCACGCCGCGTCGCCCGTGCCGCGATCGGGGCCGCCTCGACTCCCCGGGGCCGGCGTGGGGTCCGGGCTCCGCCCCGGGTGCGGGGCCGCCGCGTCCCGGGGGCGGTGCGGAGCGCGGCCCATTGGGCGCCCCGCGGGGGCCCGTCCCGCCCCGCCCCGCCCCCGGAGCCGGGGTCCCGGGGCCGCCGGGCGCGGGGCGCAGATCGCCGAGGGGTCGGGCGGCGGCGGGCGCGGGATGGCCCGGCCGGTGCAGCTGGCGCCCGCGTCGCTGGCGCTGGTGCTGGGCCGGGCGGAGGCGCGGGCCGAGGAGCCGGGCGGGCGCGCCGCGTTCCGCGCCTTCCGCCGGGCCAACGCGCGCTGCTTCTGGAACCCGCGGCTGGCGCGCGCCGCCTCGCGGCTGCACTTCCAGGGCTGGCTGGGCCGCGGGGTGCTGCTGGTGCACGGGCCCCCCGCCAGCCTGCAGGTGCTGCGCGACGCCTGGGGCCGCCGGGCGCTGCGCCCGCCGCGCGGCTTCCGCATCAGGGCGCTGGGTGAGTGCGGCGGGCCCGGGCGGGGGGCGCGGGGTCCCGCCGAGGGGCGCCTGGCTCGCCCGCCTCGGGGTGCTCGGGCGCGGGGGGAGAACCCGGGGCGCCGCGGTCCGGGCCCTGGGCGGCCACCCCGACCCACCCCCCGACCCCCAAAAGAAGCAAGACAAGGGAGAACTTGCCTTTTCTCGGGAGAACTCGGGGCGCTGCGCGCGCGCTGTGGTCCAGGCTGAGTCCCCGGGCACAGCGTGGTTTCCCCCCAGTGCATCCACCCCGACCCCACCCCCGCCCCCCAAAAAGAAGCAAGACAAGGGAGAACTTTCCTTGGGAGAACTCGGGCGCTGTGGTCCAGGCCCTGTGCAGCCACCCCGACCCCCCCCCCCCCGACCCCCAAAAGAAGCAAGACAAGGGAGAACTTCCCTTTCCTTGGGAGGACTCGGGGCGCTGCGCGCGCTGTGGTCCAGGCTGCGTCCCCGGGCACAGCGCGGTTCCCTCCAGTGCATCCACCCCGACCCCACCCCCCACCCCCCAGAAAAGGGAGAACTTCCCTTTCCTTGGGAGAACTCGGGCGCTGTGGTCCAGGCCCTGTGCATCCACCCCGACCCCCCCCCCGACCCCCAAAAAAGGAGCAAGAAAAGGGAGAACTTGCCTTTTCTCGGGAGGATTTGGGGCGCTGCGCGCGCGCTGTGGTCCAGGCTGCGTCCCCGGGCACACCGTGGTTCCCCCCCAGTGCATCCACCCCGACCCCACCCCCCACCCCCCAAAAGAAGCAAGCAAAGGGAAGCTCTTGGTGTGGGCAAGAGGCGCTGCTGTGTTGTGGAGAGCCTGAGCCCACCTGCTCCCTACTCTCAGGAGTCCAGAGCGGAGGCCAGGAGACCGCGAGTCGGGCTTGGCTTTCCGAGGCGCTTCGAAACAGCACCCCAGGGCGCTGGACAAAGCCACCCTCAGTATTGCTCCCGTTGCGGCCTTTCCGAACCAACTTTTGTCTGTTTTTGTCTTGGGGCCATTCCCGGCGATGCTCAGGGGTTACTCCTGGCTCTGCACTCGGGAATCAACCCTGGCGGTGCTCAGGGGACCATATGGGATGCTGGGAATCGAACCTGGGTTGGCCGCGTGCAAGGCAAATTCCTGGCGGTGCTCAGGAATCCCTAGAGTGCTGGAGATCCAATGCGGGTCGGTCGACTGCCCCCAGAGTCGCTCAGAGGGTGCTCGGAGGAACACAAATCGCTCCGCTTCCCTCCACCCACCACCACCTTTTCTTAAATGGTAGATTTGGAGACCTCAACCGTGTGGTTTTCCTGCCCTCCTGGGATGTGGTGGTCTTGGACCAGGGCCTAGCTTAAACGTAGGGGCCCTTAACTGCCGGGAAATAAATGACGAATAGCACTCTGGATGCACCTCCAGCGTAGGTGACCAGAGAATCTAAGCAGAGTTCTTAGAGAAAAGGGGATCTTCGTCCCAGTCTTCAGAGTGTGTGAATTTGGCAATTGGACCCTATTACATATGGGATGCTGGGCATTGAACCTGGGCCGGCCAAGTGCGTGGCAAGCGCACTAGCCATTGTACTGTTGCTCCAGCCCCAGAAGTGTAAGTGCTGCAAGTGTGTTAGGCGGCTGCCTTTGGCCTGAGGAAGTCTCACTGGAGAAATAAAACCTTTGGTCTGTGAGTGCCCTGTGAGCCTCCACTAACGGCCAGGGTCAGCCTGAGGCAGACTGCTTCTGTCCATGCCTGGGGAGGCACTTGAGGGTGCTGTGGATAAGCCCCCCGTTGTTCCAGGCCTGAATCTGGGCTCCTTCCAAGGACACCTTTCTCTGTCTCCATCCGCTCTCTGCTTCCATCTGAGCTGGACACAGAGAAGCAGAAGGATTGGTTTGATTCCCAGGGCAGAGAAGCGCTCAGGGCAGCTGCAGGGGAGGGCTGCCTGGGGCCAGTGAAGCCAAACCTGAGCTTTCCAGATTTCTGGGGTGTCTTGCACACTGCCCACCTCCCACCCACCCCCCACTCCCTACCTTTTCTTCAGGGTAGACCAGAGCTCATTGCAGAGACACGTCTCATTTCCTTTGACTCGCCGAAGTGAGGGGAGGAAAATTGGTTTCTGGCTGAGGAAACGGGGAGCCGTGTAGCCAAGCCAGAGTTTCCTCCGCGGGAAGGGGTCTGCCTTCCAGACAGGCTGCATGAAAAACTCTTTTCAGAGCCATGTCCTTGGCTTTTCTGGTTTGAATTAGCAAGTGCATTCTCTGATTCCCCCTCCGCCTTCCCGAGCATCAGAGTGGCCTGGACTGCAGAGTGAGGGTCAAGTTCGGGAGCCCGTGAGAGGCTGCCATGATGCCTCATGCAGGCGTGGGGGGCAGCAAACCCGAGTGCCAGGGGCCTCACAGTGAAAGCACATCAGGTGCCCCGACTCTGTCCACTGAGCGATGCTTCTGTAAGACAGCATGCTGCTGGGATGCAGGGAGCCCACCTGCAGTAGAGGTGCAGGAGTGTGGGCTTAGTACCAGGTCCTCTGTTCCACTTGGGTCTCATGGAATAGTTTGGAGTTTTTTTTTGCTTTTGGGGTCATACCTGGCGATGCACAGGGGTTACTCCTGGCTCTGCACTCAGGAGTTACTCCTGGCGGTGCTCAGGGGACCATATGGGATGCTGGGAATCGAACCTGGGTCGGCCGTGTGTAAGGCAAACGCCCTACCCGCTGTGCTATCGCTCCAGCCCTGGCCCTAGTTTGGAGTTTTTAATAGAGCCCTGAGGGGGGCCCAAGTACAGTGGGGAGGGCACTTGCCTTGTACTAACCAGGGCTCAGGTTCCATCCGCAGCATCCCATATGGTCCCCCAAGCCCTGCTAAGGAGTGATCCCTGAGTGCAGAGCCAGGAGCGGATCCTGAGCATCACTGGGTGTGGCCCACAAACCAAAAGGAATTAAATAGAGCCCTGAGAAAAATGTGGACAAGGCCAGAGAGATTGTACCGAGGTTAAGATGCCGCCTTGCCTTCAGCCGACCCATGACACCGCATAGGGTTCCCCGAGCACTGCTAGGAGTATGGCCCCGAGCACTGTCAAGTGTGTCCCCTCCCAAAATAAAAGAACTTGGGTGAAGCCATCCACCAGTTAGAACATTTTGAGAGGTAAAAATGGAGATTTTGTTTGCTACTTGCCAGTATTTAGAAATGAGAGTATGGTTAGCTGCCAAGTACTAGTTTAACTTAGGATCTCTGAGTTACATCAAAGGAGGGACTGGAAAGTAATATAGGATGGAAGGCACTTACCCTGCACTCAGCCCAGACCTAGGTTCGATCCCTGGCAGTACATGTGGTCCCCTGGAGCACCATCAGGAATGATCCCTGAGCACAGAACTGGGAGTAAGCCCTGAAGCAATGCTGGTGTGACCAGAAACAAAAACAACAAAAATTGAAGTAGACGTGACATAGTCAGGCAGCTCTTGGATCATCGTCAGGGCCCAGAAGGTAACGTGGGCAGGAGGTGTGCAGGGATCCAGTTTCAGTCCCCTGGATTTCGACCAGGTGGAACAGACTTCCAGGGCCAGGTATTGGCACTGTGTGCTACCTACCCTAGCTCAGATCCCTGAGTCCACCTGGGAGCAGTATCAGAGCATCGCTGGATATGGCCCCAAACCAAACCTCTCTCCCTCAGGAAAAAAAAGACTTTTGATTCCTAAAAGGCAGTGCTGTAAGTTCTTACTCAAAAATGGGGGAAAAAAAAAAAAGATAGACTTTTGGTAGGTTTTATGTTTTTGGTGTTTTGTTTGTTGGGGGGGGGTCACACCCTGTGATGCTTAGATTTATTCCTGGTTCTGTATTCAGGAATCACTCCTGGCAGGCTCAAAGGACTATAAGGGGTGCTGGGGATTGAACCCAAGTCAGTGTGTGCCAGGTGAGCACCCTACCTGCAATTCTAGAGCTCTTTTCTATGTAGTTTGTATTTTTATTTATTTATTTATTTATGTATTGAATCACTGTGGGAAAGGTTTGTAGTTTGTATTTTAAGGCTCATTTTCTTCTACGTAAAAGCATTTGTCCATAGCGAGTGTAGCTGGCCAGTTCAGACAGAAATGGCAGGGAGGGGCTGAGTGATAGCACAGAGGGTAGGGCGTTTGCCTTGCACACAGCCGACCCAGGTTTGATTCCCGGCACCCCATATGGTCCTCTGAGCCCTGCCAGAAGTAATTCCTGAGTGCAAAGCCAGGAATAACCCCTGAGCATCGCCAGGTGTGACCCAAAAAAGAAAAAGAAAAAAAAAAAGAAGAAGAAAAAGAAATGGCAGGGAGTGAGGGGGGTGCTGGGCTCCTGTGGTCGGGGCTTCTGGACCCAGGGCTCATAGAGCTTTGTATGACCTGGGGTGTAGGTCAAAGGCCTGGGGGCATTTTTGCATGCTGGAGACCACACATTCAATCCCTGGGGCTTCTTGGGCACCGCTGATATGTCCTGATGGGTCCTGGGCATTGCCAGTTTTGTCTCTGCTGGCTCCCAGCATCTCCGGGTCAAGCAGCACCACATCACCAGATCTGACCCCTTCGAGTAGCCCCCCAGGTCCCCTGCACTAGTGGGGAGGCCTCCCCAAAAGAAGAGAGGAGGAAGTACCCTGGTCAGGCAGACAGACGTGGCCTGAGACCCAGGTGCTGGATTGAATTTCTCCCTCCTGGCTCCCAGTTTGCTTCCACTGGTGCTCAGGGCTTACTCCTGGCTTAGTGCTCAGGGATCACTCCTAGTGCAGAGTGCTTTCGGGAGACCTTCCGTGGCTCCTGGCATGGAAAGCGCCCCCCTAGCTGTGCTGTGTCCCTGGCCACTTGCTTGTTTCCGATGTCCTTGTGGCTGTGGTGCTGGCAGGGAGGGCACACACTGTGGTCCCCGCCCTCTGCTCATCCACGCCTGTACTTCGAGGTTGGAGGTCACGGCTGAGGCTCCATCGGGGCTGCAGCTGTGCTCACACAGGTGTGCTTCCTGGCACCTCTCTCTAGTTGGGGTGCTTGCTGGGACCCACCCCTTTCCTGCGGT